CGGCGCCGCGCCGCCGCACCACGTTCGGTATCTCTGCGCGCGGCTGAGCTCCTGCGGCGCCGCCAGCCGGACTCGACCTTTCCAAGTTTAAACGCAACTGGCTCCCCCGTCCTTTCCCAGCGCCTGCGTTTCTGTGCGGGGAAACTATGTCCACCCCCAAGACGTAGAGAAAGCAGAATTGGGGGTGGGCTCCTGTGTCGGAATAGGTTTTGAACATCTCCAATCCCCAGAAGAGAGGGGGGAGGCGCGGGACACACACTGTTCAAATTGAAGGCACAGGCTGAAGTCGTTTGCCAGCAAAAGGAGAGAAAGAGGCCTGAGTTGGGGAGCGGGCTGGTTGCTGAGAGGAAAGGTTTTCCTTTGCCAACCCACCCTCAGGGAGGCAACGTGGGAAGATGAAGATCCTTATCCTGATAGCCGCGTGTTACTGTCTCATTCCTCAAGTGTCACTAACCCTAGACAGGACAGTTCTGTGAAAATCCCGAACTACAGAATTGAAGTTAGTTGCACTTTGGTGGCTTTCGGTAGAATATAACAGGCACTACAGATTAGTCAAATATGCGCCCATAAAACTCCATATACTGAGCGCGCACAGTGTGCAGAGCCTTTGGTGAGCGCGGTGGGAGACGCCCTGCGGAGGTGGGATCTTCTGGCTCAGGGACGGAGACAATGGGGCGTGAGCAACACAAGTACCACCGGAGAGTGTCAAGACCACAGGGGAGTAAAATGAAGTGAGATTTTAGCCGAGGGGTAAGGCAGCTTGGGGGCAGGCAGGAGTTAGGGAAAGCTTCGAAGAAGTGAGGATACAGAAGTTCCTCTATTTAGGAACATGTTTGGTTTCAAAAATCACCCACGAGTGCATTTGTTCATAAGTCTCCAAGAGGGGCTTAGCTCCAGATGCATTTCTAGGATGTTCATTAGGAGTAATTTGGAGCTTTCAAACCAGGCATACTATCCTCTGGGCTGGTGTATGTTCTCTGCCATCTCTCTCTAAAGTCGGCAGGTTTCATCTGCCTTGAAAATCTGTTAAGACAGCTCCCTTCCAGGTGATCTCTGTAGGCATCCCAAGGAATGCTTACCACTACTGTAGCCCTTGAGGAAGAGAGTGAAGAAATAAAATGGAGTCATTATAGTCAAGCTGCTAAATTACTAAAATCAAGTAGGCTGAGGCAGGAGGAACCAAATCTATTCCTGTTTTAACTAGCCTGGGAACTTAAACTGCTGAACTTTCCAGTCCCATGTCATCAAACCACCAGATAACCCTCTGATTACCCCCCAAAAGACTAAGGAAAGAATGTTCCTGTATCCCAGACCACCCGACATCCATTATGCAGACAGCGGTCGTCTAGAGGATCACCGTCTCGGTCAAGTCCAGAGACTAACAACGCAGGACTGATTCTTCTCAAGAATGTACTTCTTTATTTATTATAAGAACTCTTAGCTTTTCTCTCTTGTTTGGAATATTCTGGGTATTGCCTAATTGTGTTTCTGGTTTATACACCCTAAGGCTCTTGGATAAATCTTTATCATTTATTTCTAGCCAAAGCCTCCAGACTCTTTGAGTTCATTCAACACATTCATCAGGTTACCAATTATCTTGAAGCAAAGCATATTTGAATAAGCCTTGAACACTGTGTTGCAGAAACCTGAATATTCCAAGAGCAAAGGAGTAAGATCTAAGTCAAAATATTTTTTAACAGGATCTCCAACAGTGGGGCAAAGGTGTAATAGCCACCGTAACAAAAAGGTAACTTCAGATTGCAAGGCAAAGCAGGCAACTCCATAGAATATAACAGACTTTATTGCAGGGTATTTTACTTGAAGGAAAGATTGGGTGAGAGCAGAAGACTTGGCCTAGCAATTTTGCACAAATTATCCTCTGCTAAAGACTCCTGTTACTGTAGAGTTTTTATAATATAATTCAGGTACTAGCGATTGGGAAGACAAAGGGACAAAGAACGCTGTAGTGCCAGGGGCCATACCTCCTGGTGGTCATAGTATCTCCAGGATATTTATATCCATTGTCATGCCCTACCATATGCTACTAACAAAAATATTTATGGCTACATTTTAAGAAACAGATAATCATAAACTGGAAAGCTTTGCTATGCTTGCTAAGGACAGTGAGGTTGGTCATAGCCTGAAAGGACGAAAAGATGGAGATGGCTTTTGTTTACATCTACATTTATGCACAGTAGTATCCAGAAATTTTGGGAATAGCTACACACTGTTAAGTAATGTGTATGCTAATGGCCCACAGATCTTGTGGAACTGCATTCCATGCACAATAACCCCTTGTTTCCTAGTTCCTACCAAAACCAGGAGAGGAGATGTCACAAGAAATAATTAATTCAGCTCTGGGATTCTAGGTCTCCAAGACAAACAGTATTAATTCCAAGAAGACATCATTAAGACAGTTGTCTCAAGTTCCTAACCAGCCCCTCCCAACACTCACTTGTACACACACAGACACACTATTCTTAGATGCAATCAACTCGCTCTCAGCTTAACCACTAGCACTCAAATTACTTACATTCTCAATTTACCCAATTATAAGAGTGAATAGGAAAATAACAATAATTCCGAAAAATAAAACCAATAGGAGAGTTTTGTAAGATAAGGAATACAGAGCTCATTATTTAAAAAAACTACTAGCCCAACCGGGCGTGGCTCAGCCATTGAGCGTCAGCCTGGGATCCAGGCGATCGGGTTCGATTCCCGGTCAGGGCACATGCCCCGGGGTTGTGGCCTCGATCCCCATTCAGGGATGTGCAGGAAGCAGCGGATCAATGACTTTCTCATCACTGATGTTTCTATCTCTCTCCCTCTCCTTTCCTCTCTCTGAAATCGATAAAGATATATTAAAAATAAATAAATAAAAATAAAAAACTACTAGGTTCCAGTGATGACTATTTAGGAACTATAAAGGGAAGAGGAATTTCCCTCACAATACCACGATAAATTATGTTGGAATTAATAAAAATTGCTCATAATTTAAATAATGAAAAGTACAAAAATTTAATGACAGCTTAAAAAAAACCCACAAGTGTTCCTGGATGGAAACATATAGTAAAATGATGTAAAATTTTCCTAACCACATTTTAAAATTTTAAATAACACTAGTTTAAATTCTTGCACAATTTTAAAACCATACAATATTGTAAAATTCATTCAGATAAATAAACATGAGACTAACAAATTCATTTTTTAAATTGTAGGGGGAAATGTGAAAAACTTTTAAAGGAACAAAAAAGATTATTAAATCTCTTCAATGGAAAATTGGGCATTGTCTAGGTTATCTGATTCTATGGGCTCTCTGTGCCTTCCATTGTCTTTGAGCAACTTTACAGCTCTTTTAAGTTGTAGATAACTATCATGGACTAAATTGTGTTTCCCTCTAAATTCCTATGTTGAAGCACTCTAACCTTCAATGTGGCTGCATTTGGAGATGGGCCTTTTAAGGAGGTAAATAAGGTGTAATGAGCTCGTAAGTTGGGGTCCTAAACCAATAGGATTGATGTCCTTATAAAAAAAGAGTGCACATAGAGAAAAGGTCCTGTGAGGACATAGCAAGAAGACTGTCATCTACAAGTCAAGGAAAGACCTCGCCAGAAATCAACCTTGCCAGGACCTTGATCTTGGATTTCTAGCCTACAGAACTGTGAGAAAATAAATTTCTGCTGTTTAAACCACCCCATCAGTGCTATTTTGTTTTGGCATTCCTAGCAGACTAATACAATAAACAATAACATGCAGATGAATTATGTCTAGTGGAAGGACATTTATTCCCTGCTGTAATGGTTAATTTTATTTGTCACTTTGACTGGGCTAGGTGATGTCCACATAGCTGATAAAACATTATTTCTGGGGGTGTGTGTGAGGGTGTTTCCAGGAGAGATTAACATTTGAATCACTTGAGAGAGTAAAGAAGATTCATTCTCACCGATGCTGGTGGGCATCTGAGTGGAACAAAAAAGCAGAGAAAGGGTGGATTTTCTCTCTCTTCCTGAGTTGGAACATTGATCTTTTCCTGTCCTCAGGCATCAAAATTCCTGGTTCTCAGGCCTTTGGACTCCAGGATTTAGACCAGCAATCTCGTGATTCTCAGGCCTTCAGCCTCAGACTGGGAATCCCATTCTGGGCTCCCCTGGTTTCAGTCTTTCAGACTCAGAGTAAGTGAAACTACCAGCCCTCCCGGTCCTCCAGCTTGTAAGTGGCAGATTGTGGGACTTCTCAGCCTCTGTGACCACATGAGCTAATTCCTATAATAAATCTCCCCTTATATATTTTTGTATCTAAATAGACATACAGCTATAGGTAGATATATATCTTATTGGTTCTTTTCTCT